TTAAATCAAAATACAAATCACTATTTAACTCCATCAAAAAGTAACTTGCAGTGCCTCACCTACCACCATCCATAGGGGAAAGAACAGTAATCTCATCTCAGCTCTTCAGGAATAGGTCTGCGGGGTTGCAGATCATTTCTGTGAGGTTTTGGAGGAGGGGAATTCTCTCAGCCCAGAAAACATCATGGCGCAAGTTAGGGATAACCCTGCAAGGGCTGCAGTGCCTCAAATATTTGCAGAAGAAGCCACCCCTTCTGAGTGGTTGACTGAGGTGCCATCTATAGAGGAAGTGTGAGGGGAGACCCGGAGTCTGAAACCAGGAAAAGTGCCGGGCAGATAAGATCTCCCAAATGAAATGCTCAGGAAGGGTGGCATCTGTGTGCAGACTGCCCAACATGACACCATCACAACTGTCTGGAGTACAGGATGGGTACCGCAGGATTGGAAGGATGCCCTGGTGGCCCCCCTCTTCAAGAAGGGGGTCCGCAGAGATTGTAACAACTACAGAGCCATATCTCTTCTCAGTGTGCCGGGAAAGTTCCTGACAAGGATTATTCAAACCGCCGTACCAGACACACTGGAACGAGGCTTCCGGAGCCATAATGTGGTTTCAGACGACGGTGGTCCTGCATGGATTATATTCTCTGTCCGTGTCCTAAAGTAAAGGTCTAGAGAATTCCCACAAGATAAACATCTCAGCTTTATTGAGTTTGTCAAGGCCTATGATACCACTTTCAGAGTCCCTGATTCTCTGCTCAGAATCATTAAGGGCCTTCTTGATGGTGGGCAGGAGTCAGAGTTATTCCCTGTTCATCTTGGGGTGCGAGAGGGATGTCCTTTGGCTCCTACATTTTTCAAAATCATCATTGACCACATTTCTAGACGCTTTCCATGGCGGTAACAGAGGAATTTCCATCTGGTACAGATAGAATGAGAAGCTGATCGATGCCCCGGCGTGGTTGAGGGGTGGCACCCTATTGGTCAATATTGTTACATTTGCTGCTGATCTGGCGCTTGCTGCTCTCTCAGAGGAAGAGTTAGAGGTGCGTCTGATGAATCTGGAGTGTGCCACTAAGAGGTGGGGTCTTACCATCAGCCCCACAAAAACTGAGCACCTGCGTGGGTTTTTTGTCCTATCAAACACTCCATTCCTCAGCTCCTCATTGGTGATGGAGCAGTTGTGGAGAGAGTGGAGAGTTTTCTATACCTGGGCAGTGTGCTTATGGCCAGCTCCAGTTTGACAGCAAAGGTGTCATTCCGAATCAGTCAGGCGGCATTAACTCTTTCATCAGCTGCGTAATGCTGTGTGGAAGCTACCTGGTCTGCCGCTCCATGCAAAGCTGCAGGTCTTCTTGGCCACAGTCATACCCTCCCTTCTCTATGCTTGTGAAACGTGGACACCAATAATGGAAATCTGTGTCTGTTATAAACATTCAGGCTGGCCTGCCTATGATCCCTCCTGGGTTTAACCAGGCTGGATTGTGTGAGGAGCTCACAAATCCTTCAAAGATCTGGACACATTCCCATCAGTGAGCTCCTCCAGCAAGTAAGGCTGTGTTGGATGGGTCATGTAGCCTGCATCTCCAGCCACAGCATGGCCAAGCAGCTTCTGTTTGGCCTCATATAGGTGGTTAAACGGCCACGACATGGGCTGGAGAAGAGATGGATGGATGTGGTACAAGAAGATGTGGAGTTGATTGGACTTACTGAAGACTGTTACCAGCGGTATCAAGATCGCCTTCCATGGAGGAGGCTCAAGAAGCACGCTACTACTGGGAAGTTGGAGGTCACGTTCCAACAACAACTGATGGCACAGAAGAGGCGCTTACAACAATGAGCGGAGCGTCCAGTGGCTAAAATCCAGTAAGTTTGCACAGTACGGTCTACAGCTATGCATCTGCCAGTCATTTCAGTCAGCCACCCCATGCTACATGGGTCTGTCCTGTGACCTCCTGTAAGTTAACCTTCGAAACTTCACGTCCTCTCAAAATGCACACAGCCTGGCACAGGTGCCATGGTGATGTCACCGTCACTTATTGGTGAATGGCAGGTATTGGTATAGTGGTGTAGCATATAGCATAGTGTATAGTAGTGTAATATAGTGTAGTGTATAATAGTGTACAGTGGTATAGTGTATAGCGTAGTGTATAATAGTGCAGTGTATTGTTAAGTGTATAGCGTAGTGTATAATAGTGCAGTGTATTGTTAAGTATATAGCGTAGTGTATAATAGTGCAGTGTATTGTTAAGTATATAGCGTAGTGTATAATAGTGCAGTGTATTGTTAAGTATATAGTGTAGTGTATAATAGTGCAGTGTATTGTATAGTATATAGTGTAGTGTATAATAGTGCAGTGTATTGTTAAGTATATAGTGTAGTGTATAATAGTGCAGTGTATTGTTAAGTGTATAGCGTAGTGTATAATAGTGCAGTGTATTGTTAAGTATATAGCGTAGTGTATAATAGTGCAGTGTATTGTTAAGTATATAGCGTAGTGTATACTAGTGCAGTGTATTGTTAAGTATATAGCGTAGTGTATAATAGTGCAGTGTATTGTTAAGTATATAGCGTAGTGTATAATAGTGCAGTGTATTGTTAAGTATATAGCGTAGTGTATAATAGTGCAGTGTATTGTTAAGTATATAGCGTAATGTATAATAGTGCAGTGTATTGTTAAGTATATAGCGTAGTGTATAATAGTACAGTGTATAGTGTAACGGGTGGACGAATGTTGTCGCCCCGGGATGAGCCAGTGTGGTGGCCGAGGTTACATGAGATCAGGGGGGGTGAGTGGTTGGGGGGGGGGGTAAAAAATCACCAACCCCCTATCTCCGGAAGCCAAGGCAGCACCACGTAGCCTGGCCTTGACCGTGGGCAGGGTACGAGTTCGACAGTCAGGGCAAGCCGGTTGGTGTGGGGTAAGAGGGGTCATAGACGGGGCTGTGCGTGATTGGTGGAGAGTGAGAGGGTGAGTAGACGGGGCTGTGCGTGATTGGTGGCGAGTGAGAGGGTGAGTAGACGGGGCTGTTAGTGATTGGTGGAGAGTGAGAGGGTGAGTAGACGGGGCTGTGCATGATTGGTGGAGAGTGAGAGGGTGAGTAGACGGGGATGTGCGTGATTGGTGGAGAGTGAGGTCAACAAAAGTCAGTGCCTCCTATGACGATGTTCCGGGAGTCCCATTGGGGGGCGCTGTACGAGCCAAGCAGGACCAAATTTGCATATTTAAGTGAGCAATACCCGTGTATAGTAGTGTAGTGTATAGTAGTGTCGTGTATGTGGTGTAACGTGTAGCGTACAATAGTCTAGTGTATAGGTAGTGTATGGTAGTGTAGTGTATGGTAGTGTAGTGTATGGTAGTGTAGTGTATGGTAGTGTAGTGTATAAGTGGTGTATCGTGTAGTGTATAGTAGTGTATAGTAGTCTAGTGTATATTGTATAATAGTGTAGTGTCTAGTAGTTTATGGTAGTGTAGTGTATAGGTAGTGTATAGTAGTGTGTTTTGTAGTGTATTGTTTAGTAGTGTAGTGTAAAAACCACTTTAACCATCATCTCTGTTAATGACTAATCGCTTAACGACGGGTCTCCATAGAGCCCAATGTGTTCGTTTATCGACTATTCCCCCCTGTTGAAGACGGGTTATTGTGGGTATTTGTTTATAATGTTGTTAGTATCTTCATGAATTAATATTCATTGTTTAATTACTATAAAGCAGCGGCCCCCAACCTCTTTGGCACCAGAGACCGGTTTTATGGAAGACAATTTTTTCACGGACCGGGGGGAGGGGGGGGGTCATCATTGGGTCTTTTCCCCTTTTCAAAGAAGCTCTCCAGCGACGTTTTGTCTAACTCATTGTGGCTACTGGGGGTCAGCTTGTGGGCTTACCAAAACTGTGACTGAGACAAGTGCGCAGTGTGGGAAAGGGGCGCGGACGGAGGTGGTAAATAATAAAATGGGCGGGCCACGAGCGGACTCACCGCTCACCTCCTGCTGTGCGGCCCGGTTCCTAACAGGCCACGGACCAGTCGTGTATAAGTGGTGTCCGCGGCCCGGGGGGTTGGGGACCCCTGCTATAAAGTACGTTTTTGGGTGAAAAATGGTAACTTCCGATGCTATCGGAACGAGTTTAGCCTTTAACGTGAATTCCCTTTACTCGCTTAACGACAAAATAACTTAACGACCGGTTTCATGGTTCCAAATACCGTCGTTAAGAGGGGTTCTACATACGACGACCCTGCACTACTATACACTACACCATACAGTACACCATGAACTACACTATACACTACACTATACACTATGCTATAAACTACACTACTATACACTACACTAGACACTACTATACACTTCACTACTATACACTACATTCCTATACACTACACTACTATACAATATTATACACGACACTACTATGCACTACTATACACTACACTATACACACACTAAACTATTATACACTATATGACACTACACTACACTAAACCATTAACGTGCATTTTATATACTCGCTTAACGACCAAATCACTTAACGACTGGTATCGTGGAACCAATTAACGTCGTTAAGAGGAGGGGTTCTACTACACGAGGGGCTGGGTTGATCGTCGTTCACCCTGGCCGGGCGGCAGGGGGGGTGGTGGGCTCCTGAAGGGGGGCAGCTGCTGTGGCGTGGGCGAGTCGGTGGCTGGGACCGTTGTCGCGATGGGTCGTTGCTGGCGCTGCTGCTGCTGCTGCTGCCGTTGTAACGGGCGAGCCGGGGCCCGTTGCCGCTGGTGCGTGGAGCAGCTGCGTGCGGTGCTGCCGTGCGGGCGTGGCAGTGACAGAGACGGCAGCTGGGTGGAGGTGCTCAGAGCGCTGTTGAGGGCAACCAACCAAGTCCCGAGACTGCGGCTGCATGGATCCATTAAAGGGCGCCGTTGTGAGTGCGAGCCAAGGTTGAGGTTGATGCTGCGTTGAATCCTGGGAGTGCTGCACTACCGTTGGGTCCTGGGGGGGGGGGGGATCCCCGAGGCTGCACGCGACTTCGAGAGTGAATGTTGCGCACCAAGTTGGTGGGCTTCTGCCGCGTTGCCTCGTCACCCGGGAGCGGAGCGTGCGTCAGGGTTGTGGTGCGAACGGTCGCCGCGGAGTTCTGCGATCGTCGACGCGCTGTGGGGTCGCCGTGTTAAGCCGGTGGACTTACGGGGTCATGCAAATGTGCGCTGTCACTGTTGCCGAGACTTTTGAAGAGTTGGTTGCACTTGGTTGTCAAGAAAGTATTATCCGCCACAGTATGTTCGCGTCCTTGAGCATCGTGTTTCAATATTGCATGACGAGTCTAGGCGTGGTTAAATCCAAATGGTCTTAACTTTTTCTATATTCTGGATAGAGTTATTGTCCTTCTTTCTTTCGCTGTCAAATCAACGTTGTAAAACTGCGCTGCTGCCCGATAACGAAAATTGAGGGAATTGCACGACAAAGAAAATGGATCCGAACTCCTCTATCTCCCATATTAACAAAAAATGAGCAACCCTCATAATTTGCATGCCTGCGATAGTGATTCAAGGTATGCTCTGATGCCGGTCCCGCTGGGGCGCCTGCCCCCTGCTCACATGAGCAGGTAATGGTGCCGGGTTCAGCAAAGTGCCTAGCTCGGACTTTGAGCCACAGCCCCGTGACTGAGTTAAACATGAGCAACTCTCAACGGTGAGGTGAGTTGAGATAAGTTGAGGTGAGATGAGGTGAGTTGCGATGAGGTGATTTGAGGTGAGTTGAGGTGAGGTGACGTGAGTTGAGGTGAGGGGAGTTGAGTTACGATAAGGTGTGTGAGGATGATGATTTGAGACGAGGCGATCCGAGTCTTATTAAGCCACCCCTGGATTGGAGACGTCTGTACTCGCTCACACGTCAACACATTCTGGGGCACGCCTCGTGACATGCAAATCAAACTGAAAGACTTCCTACTTGTCATCTATTAACGTGGCTTGTTCCTTGTTTAGCGTCTGAGACGCAGCCAGAGACTGCCTGAGATACAGAGACTGTCTGAGCTACAACCAGAAACTGCCAGCGATACAGATATAGACTGCCTGAGATACAGACAGAGACTGTCTGAGCTACAGCGAGAGACTGCCTGAGCTACAGCCAGCTACTGCCTGAGATACAGCCAGTGACTGTGCTACAGCCAGATACACTCTGTGCTACAGCCAGTGACTATCTGAGCTATATCCAGAGACTGTGCTACAGCAAGAAAACGGCCTGAGCAACATCCAGACACTACCTGAGCTTCAGCCAGCGCCCGTCTGAGTGGAGCCACAGGACCATGGCGAGTGCGGCTCCCACTGGTTGCGAGGCTCCAGGGGAGTTAACCTGCCCCATCTGTCTGGACGAGTTCTGCTGCCCCTGTATGCTCAGCTGCGGCCACTCGTTCTGCCTCAAGTGCGTGGAGGGCGCCTGGGATGCGGCAGAGTCCTTCTCCTGCCCACAGTGCCGAGTGACTTTCCCTCGGAGGCCCAAGCTGAGCAAGAACTTCACGCTCGCCAACCTGGTGGAGCAGCGCAGTGCTACAGAGAAAATGGCCACCGTGGTCTTGTGTGACTTCTGTAACGATGGCACGACCGCTGCCTCGAAGACCTGCCTCAGTTGTGATATGTCCTACTGTGTGACTCATGTAAAGCCTCATCAGGAGAACCCGAAGTTCAGGGACCACATTCTGGTGGCTCTAGCCACGAATCCTGAAGACCACAAGTGCAAGATGCACAGAAAGAAGATCAAGTTTTACTGCCGACAGGACGAGAGCTTGGTCTGCACAACCTGCATCATCGTAGGAGACCACAAGGGTCACGATGTGGCTACGCTGGAGGACGAGCACAAGACACGGGAGGTGAGATGGTCTGCGTGTGTGAGCGGGAGCCCCTCCTGCGTGAAGTAATAATATCCCAGTATGAACTGAACAATAATTTCCAACTAAATTTATATCATTCCTTTCTCAGCTGCCCATTGTTTTTTTTTAAATGTAGCAACGTTGGTTTAATATAAAGTATGCTGAGGTTATCATAGTGCAGAAATAATACAACCACATGTTATTATCAATCCTGTTATATGACAAATATTTAATGTGCTCTTCGTATATTTTAATAAAACTGAAGGACTTTAATGTGTACAATGTGTTCTCAAAATGACGTGAGTGCATAGACCATGGTTCGAATACAAAAACAGTCGATGGTAGAGAGGAGCATTCACTAAAATGTAAACGCAATGTAAAACGACTGGGACTGCGTGAGCCGCAGTGCTCACCACTTGCTAGCCTCGTGCCGTTCTGTCCCAGTTTAGCGCCACACTCTACAGACGAAGTAATTCGTGACCTTACTTATATTTTCATCAAGATTCTCTCTACTAAATTTCACCGACACTCAACAGTGACATAGCACTGTTGATTAAAACTAAACTAAAACTTTTTTTCATTATACTAAGTGAAGCTCACTGAGCTATGTAGCTCTTTTTCAGAGGCAAACCTGGCCACAAATGACAGCTCAAAGAAGTGGCTTATGAAGTCGAAATTCATAGAAGCCAAATACTCTAAACGCACGTTTTGAATGTAGAGGGAAAAAAAAGGAGGACCCGGACAAAAATCCATGCGACCATGGGGAGAAAAAACTCCAAATATTCAGGTGTCAGGGTGGGATCGAAACCACGACCTCCTGTTTACCAGGCAACGTAGATTAACATCTCGCGGTGCCTTTTCCACTCACAACTCAGAGCCCTACTCACTACTCAGGTAGCCCCGCCCTCGACTCAGGTAGCAGTGGAGAGTGTTTGGGTCCACAGGCTAAGGCTCCTGCGCGTGCTATGTGAGCCCAGCTATATGTATGCTGAACTTCTTTCGCACCAAATGTAGCCAACCGTGCTTATCGGAGGTGCGGTTTCCTGCAGCGCTCGCTCCCCCAGCCTCCATCACTGCACAAGGGCCGCTGCAGCCTGGAGAAGGGACCGCCACTGTGGAGGGGTCCGCGTGGAGCGGGGTTGAGAGGGGCCGCTCAGAGAGTGAGTGGATTCTCCCCTGGTGACGTCTCTCACAGAAACAAGTGGGAGAGGAGACGTGGGCGGTGGAGAAGAAGAGGAGGAAGGCGGAGGAGTCCAAAAAGCGGATGGAGGCCGCTCACAGGGACGTGCAGGTAACCGCGTCTGGGCCAGATCCTGTGACCCCGTGACTCCACCCTGAGTCGAGTTTGTGATGGAGGACAACTACATTCATTCATGTGGACTTCTATTGGCTTTGAACACATCGTGGGACTAAAGACACAACGGTCAATGCGCATCAATACCCAGGACAAGCAAAGAAGTGGTTCTCATCTCCAATGAGGAACTGAATCAGTGGTGGAAATTCCACATTCTTAGGATGGGGGACCAATATCCCCATGTGAACTGCCACTTCATCTTGTTATATATCTGTCTATTCTAGCCAGATGAGGTGGCACATACCTACTCTTTGGTTTTATTCGGTAAAGTCACGTAGGTAAAAAATAAAACAACAAAATTCACGACGTTTCGGCCACAACACAAGAGGCCTTTCTCAGGTGAAGGGATCAGGCTGTCTCGAGGACAGCGCTGGAGTGAAACACAACCACGCTCAGACCGCGAATCTTTAAGCTGTGTTTGAGCAAACAAGGTGCCTTGATAAAGGAATTAGCATAAAAAATAGCATTTGATTGGCCGACTTTAGAAAAGCGGTGGTGTACGTGCCGGTGGACTTGCCATTTGGCGCGGGGGTGGGGGAGGGGGAGTTTACCTATTTATGGTGTGAAAAGGGAATTTATAAGAGCTACGAAAGTTTGGGGTACCACTACTTGAAAAATATACTGTTCCATTGAAATTAGTTTAATGTTTAGTTCGATTTAGAACATCTTTCCAATGGTTGCTTAATTTGAAACCATCTTCTGGGTTGAAATTGTGTTTGTGTTTGTAGATCTGAATTGCCTCGTGAACAAATCTCTGATAAAAACCCGTGGGTTTGCAAAGAACCTTGGTATCGGAGAAAATTATATCGTGATCACCCACAGCGTTGTAACAGTGATCAGCCACGGCAGAAGAATTCGTTTTGCCGTGTTTCAAATCTGATTTGTGCTCGCGAATTCGGTCAGAGACATGTCGCTTTGTCTCCCCGATATAGCAATTACCGCAGGTACAACTCAATTTGTAAACCCCGGGGTACTGTAAGTCAGGAATGACATCCTTCACGGATGGGATCAGATCACGAATTTTGTGTACTGTATTGAACCGGACCTGGATCTTGTGTTTGTTTAGAATTTTGGAAATCTTTTTAGTAACGCCTGCTATATATGGTAGTGTGATGGTTTTGACCGGAGTATCAAGTGGTTGTTTCTGTATGGAGGGAGAAACAGCTTGGCGGATGGTACGGTCAGAGTATCCATTCCTTTTTGAGGGCCAGGTGTACATGTTTTAATTCACTGGTCAGGTGGTGTTGGTCCGAAATGCAATGAGCCCTATGGTATAAAGTTTTGATGAGAGAATTATTTTGGGCTGGGTGGTGGTGGGAATCAGGTTTCAAGTAGGAATCTGTGTGGGTGGGTTTCCTGTAGACAGAATGCCCCAATGAGCAAGGAGACCTGATAGCTCATTGGGGCACTCTGTCTACAGGAAACCCACCCACACAGATTCCTACTTGAAATCTGATTCCCACCACCACCCATCCCAAAATAATTATCTCATCAAAACTTTATACCATAGGGCTCATTGCATTTCGGACCAACACCACCTGACCAGTGAATTAAAACATGTACACCTGGCCCTCAAAAGGAATGGATACTCTGACCGTACCATCCGTCAAGCTGTTTCTCCCTCCATACAGAAACAACTACTTGATACTCCGGTCAAAACCATCACACTACCATATATAGCAGGCGTTACTAAAAAGATTTCCAAAATTCTAAACAAACACAAGATCCAGGTCCGGTTCAATACAGTACACAAAATTCGTGATCTGATCCCATCCGTGAAGGATGTCATTCCTGACTTACAGTACCCCGGGGTTTACAAATTGAGTTGTACCTGCGGTGATTGCTATATTGGGGAGACAAAGCGACATGTCTCTGACCGAATTCGCGAGCACAAATCAGATTTGAAACACGGCAAAACGAATTCTTCTGCCGTGGCTGATCAATGTTACAACGCTGTGGGTGATCACGATATAATTTTCTCCGATACCAAGGTTCTTTGCAAACCCACGGGTTTTTATCAGAGATTTGTTCACGAGGCAATTCAGATCTACAAACACAAACACAATTTCAACCGAGAAGATGCAACCATTGGAAAGATGTTCTAAATCGAACTAAACATTAAACTAATTTCAAAGGTACAGTATATTTTTCAAGTAGTGGTACCCCAAACTTTCGCAGCTCTTATAAATTCCCTTTTCACACCATCAATAGGTAAACTCCCCCTCCCCCACCCCCGCGCCAAACGGCAAGTCCACCGGCACGTACACTACCTCTTTTATAAAGTCGGCCAATCAAATGCTAATTTTTATGCTAATTACTTTGTCAAGGCACCTTGTTTGCTCACACACAGGTTAAAGGTCCGCGGTCTGAGCGTGGTTGTGTTTCACTCCAGCGCTGTCCTCGAGACAGCCTGATCCCTTCACCTGATGAAGGCCGCTTGTGTTGTGGCCGAAACGTCGTGATTTTTGATATTTAATTTTTTACCTACGTGACTTTACCGAATAGCACCAAAGAGTATGGATCCTTGCAGTCACGAAAGCTTTAAATCTAGAAGTGGCACATACCTGTATTCCAGTACATTGGTGGCAGGGTTCACATTATATAAATATGTTTACAAAACTATCACATTGTGCTATGAACTCAAGTCACCTGACATCAACTCCCAGCGATGACAAACATCAGTAGCGAGTAATATCTGTAAAACCACAAAGCAATACACTGAATGCACGCAGTGTGCTTCATATAATGTGCATATTCACATAACCTATTCGCATAGTACACTCCCATTCAGTATATTGCAATTTGCAATGTGAGCATTAAAGTTTATTTTAATTTTAAAAGAGTATCCGACAAAGCACAGAGACACTTCGAGGTAAGGTCACCAAGTTGCATGTCCAGTTCTCATCGGTGCACCGATCTCATCACTGCCCAGTCACGAAACCCAGCTCTCGTGTCCAGTTCCAGATGGGCTTGTTTTGTGGATGGAATACAGCTTGGAAGCGTTGCTGATCAGGCACCTTCAATGATGACCTTTTGATTTGTCACTCTGCTCGCATTACATACACCTTGTGCAACTCTACGAATAGATGGCGTTCATATTTAATTATAATTGAAATTGCTTCTTTTTCTCAGATTTGTGATTTACTATTTGGGATTGAGTCCTGTGTAGTTTTCAGGGTTATGATAGGTGACAATTGTATTGTTTATTGGCTACCGAGGCCATGATGCACAGGAGGGCTTCATCCTCCATCAGGTCACCTGGGTTACAGGTCAAAACGTCTCCCATAGTGTGGGTTGCATGGCCACAGTGGCAATACTGTGGATTGACGTTAATGCATCTCTATGGGTCTCGATGGGTCTCTATGTATCTCTGAGTGTCTCCATGTGTTTAGTATATGGTCCATAGTTTGGGTTGTATGACCACAGTCACACTGTCCTAGATTGACTCAAATGGATCTCAATGCGTCTCTATTCGTCTCCATGTCTCTGTGTTTCTCTTTGGGTCTCTATATCTGAGTCTCTATGTATCTCTATGGATCGCGAGGTATATCTATGGGTCTCTATAAGTTTACTTTATTGCCCATAGTTTGCGTTGTATGGCCACAGTAACTTATACATTTATGATTGAGGAAAGAGAGGTGTAAACTCCATCTCCATAAGACATAGATCAACCGTTGCGAGATTAACTCCTCCGTTAATTATTTAATCAAAACAAATCACACGCCCTGGCAGGAATCGATGACCGAGGTGAGGCAGCGAATCAATGGCGAGTTCGCCCGCATGAGAGCAGCTCTGGACGAGGACGACAAAGCGGCTCTGGCTCGTGCGTCCAAGAAGGAGCGCGAGTTGCTGACCCAGATCGAGAAGAACATCGCTCACTACCAGCGTGAGATCGGCGATCTCCAGGCAGCAGCCACTCGTCTGGAGGGCCTAGCGCAGGAGAGGGACTCGCTCGCGTTCCTGCAGGTGAGCGATGAGTCTCCGGTGTCGCTATTGGCACAGAGCCCTCGGCAGCGTCAGAGTTGAGGCTCCTGAATGAGGTTTTCACATCGACTGCGCTTTGTCATGCACGGCCTTCCGCCCGGTCCTTGCGTGCAGTCGTTCCCAATTACGACGATGTTTGCAATGCAAGTCAGTGTTGGTGCTCATGAGGTCGTAAGCCAAGACTTTGTGGTTTATATTATACCCGCAGTGTTGCAGTGGGAAATCCACTGATCCCATGGGAATGGAGGCAGTCACAGTAACGCATCTCTCTCTCTCTCTCTCCCACAGGGGCACCTGGAGGAGGCGCGCAGGTACAGACGACGATCACTCACGACTCGACACAGGACAACATGGGACTTTGTGCGAGGCGCAGGCAGTGGGACACTGGCTGTTTGTGGGGATGCTGTGTGTGTGTGATGATGCTGTCTGTGGTGAAGCTGTAAGTGGTGGTACTGATTATAATGATGCTATGTGGTGATGATGTGAAATGTGAGTGTTCATGCTTTGTGTGATGAGTTTGTAAGTGATGGAGCTGTGATGATCCTGTGTAACACAATTTTTGTCCCTGAGTAGTAAGTGTTATTTAGTAATTGCTAATGCCTAAAAAGTGTAGAAAAAGGCTTTTATTCCCCACAAACTTTGCTTTTGTGACCAGGGCAGTGATATTTAGAAATTGGCATATTTTCAAAGAGAAAACGGGCATATTTGTGTCTTTTCGTTCACATAAATTCAGAAAAAAAAACATATGAATCAAAATTTACACATATTTATCCTAAAGTAATAAAAAAATACTACAAAAGATTTAGAAGTGAGCATTTTTTCGAGATTTACGATTATACTGTAAATCACTTTGACGAATCACCCCCCAAATGTAGTCTCCCATCATGTTCTCGTTATACTGTCCTTGGTAGCGGCGTTCAAAGTCAAGTATATCCTGGTGGAAGCGCTCGCCTTGCTACTCCGAGTATGCTCCCATGTTCTTCTTGAATTTATTAAGATGAGCATAAAGGTTATGGACTTTGAGGGACATCCTATAGCCCATTGTGCCGTAGTTCTTCACCAGTCTCAACCAGCTCCACGTAGTTTTCGATCTTGTGATTGCCCCAGAAGCCCCGAACCACTGAGACAAAGCTGTTCCAAGCCGCTTTCACCTTACTAGTGAGCTTCTTTGGGAATTAATTGCACTGTAGGATCTTCTTTATCTGTGGTCTGATGAAGACACCGGCTTTGACCTTTGCCTCAGACAGCTTATGGAAGAATTCTTGAAGGTACTTGAAGGCTGCCGACTCCTTATCTACAGCTCTGACAAATTGTTTCATAAGGCCCAATTTGATGTGCAGTGGTGACATCAGCATCTTCCGGGGTCTACCAGTGGCTCCCACTTGACGTTGTTCCTCCCCACAGAAATCTCGGTCCGTTGTGGCCAGTCCCGCCTGTGGTAGTGCGCCTTGGTGTCCCTGCTGTCCCAAAGGCAAAGATAGCAGGAAAACTTGGTAAAACCGCCTTGGAGACCCATCAGGAATACGACCATTTTAAAGTCTCCGATAAACTTCCAGCCGTACTCATCATACTTAAAGGTGTCGAGCAAGGTATTGATGCTGTTGTAATCCTCTTTGAGGTGCACCGAATGAGCCAGGGGAAGAGACGGGTACTTGTTCCCATTATGGAGCAGCACGGCTTTGAGGCTCCTGGATGAGCTGTCAATGAAGCGGCGCCACTCATTCTGGTTACAGACGATTCCGATTGCCTCGAACAGACTAGTCACATTGTGGCAGAAGCAGAGCCCATCATGACGGGTGAAGAAGCTGCAAATAGGTTGGTGACACTTCCTCTGAACTGTGACTTGCACACTTTCATCCAAGCAGTTCCACTGCTTGAGCCTAGACGTCAAAAGCTCGGCATTGGACCTGGTGAGACCAAGATCTCTTATCAAGTCGTTGAGGTCTTTTTAGTTGGAGTCGTATGGGTTTCTCTCCTCAGCTCCACCTTTGAAATTGTCATCTGGTTCTACAACGTCTTCCTCGCTCTCTGACTTGCTACTCTCTTCGAAAGACGGCTGCTCTTTTTACAGGGGAGTGGGTACAGGGAGCTCATGGCAGTGTGGCACCGGGGCGATGGATGAAGGAAGGTTCGGATACGTGATAGCAGGTACATTCTTGCAAGTCCGACGTTTGCAAGGACCCACCATGCAGAAGTAACAGTTGCTTGAGTGGTCAGTGGGTTCCCGCCAAAATACATTTATTTCACCCATGACTAATGTGTAAGAGATTCTCGCAATATTTTTAAAACAAAAAATTTCAATAACATTGAAAATTGTAAAAATAATAATAAACTTTAACAATAAAAAAAATCTTAACAAATTTTATTACATTAATTTCCGAGCAACAATTGTCCATCTTTCCTTCCAGAGACTTTTTTGCATTGTTCGCAGGTGAAATGAGGTGCCCAGGGTTTGTCTTGATCCCCGACAGGCATGCTAAAATATGCCTTGCAGGCCTCACACATCTTAGCAGATGCTTCCACAGAGTACTTTTTCGTTCTTGTCTTGATAAATTGGCCACAGACATAGAAAAATGCGTCTACCGGATGCTTGCAGCCTCTTGATGTCATCTCAGAAAAATGCAGATATGTATCTACTTAGGTAGCTGGAACTAAACTGAACTGGTGGGCATAAGGCCCCTGTATTTATACTACTATTTATATTACTGTAAAGTTCCAGAATGTTCTAAAAGTTACTCCAAGTTTACCCTGCATTGAATCTACCTGGAATGTTTTGGAAAATAGGTCAATTTCAAAATAACAATATCCTGGTCACAAAAGCAAACTTTGTGGGAATAGCCATTTTCTGTACTTTTGAGGCATAAGCAATTAAGAAATAACACTTACTACCCAGGGACAAAAACAAATACAAATGTGTTGCACAGTTTAATCTTTGTGAGAAAGTGGCCGTATCTGCTCTGTTTTCACAGGACAGGGAGGGTTAGAACGGCTCAACCCTCAGCTCCCAGCCAAGAGGAGATTGCCTCACTTAAAGTCCTGGAGACAACTACTGTCAAGTTCATGTGTGAGTTATTCAGTGTGAATCATGAGTGATGAGGCCATCTTGACAACAGATGAACCCCGTGTGTGCACGAGATCGACTCACCCTCAAATAATTACCTGGAGTTTAACAAACATCACCATTAGGGAGACAAAGGCGGCCAGGGATAGTGCTGGCCACCCACCCCCTCATGTGTCGTGCCAGCCTTCAACGGTGCTGATTTGCCCCAACAGTCTGTAAAGGCTACACGGGGGGTATTTTTTTGTTTACATCCTGGAACCTGATGCGTTGGGTAAACAGAATCGTCACTAGGGAGACAAAGGTGGCCGGGCATGGTGCTGGCCACCCACCTTGTGTGCCATGCCAGCCTTCATAGACTCTCATGGACAGCACTTGTCCCAATAGTCTGCGAAGGATACCCAGGAGATCTCTGTCTTTGTTCACATCCCATTCCAGGACCCTACTGAGGATGGTGGTAATGATGCTGATGTTTGTGATAATGTGAGTGATGGTTATGGTGATGGCATTGATGATGGTGTTTGTCGTGGTGATGGCAGTTACGGTCGTGGTGATGGTAATGATGGTGACATTGGTGATAATATAGGTGGTGATGGTTGTGATGGTTTTGCTGATGGCGCTCATGGTAGTAGTGATGATGATATTGGTTACAGTGATAATTGTAGTGATGGTGGTGATCATGGTTTTGATGGTCGTTGTGATAGTTATGATGCTGATCGTGTTGGTGATGTTGGTGATAGTGATGAAGATATTAGAGATGGTGGTGATGGGGATAGTCATGTTGTTGATGTTCATAGTGTTGATGATGGTGGTGATGGTGATATTTATGTTGTTGTCATCGATGATAATGATGGCGAGAATGGTTGGTGATGATGTTTGTGATGTTATTGTCGATGGTGAAATGATGACTGGTGATGGTAATGTTGATGGTGATGATGGTGGATAATGGTGATGATGTTGTTCTGTAGTGATGTTGCGATCGCTGTTGTCACAGACGGATGCTCACCAACTCTGGACACAACCACTGCTCATAACCAACTCCAGATCTCCTCGGATCTCAGGATGATGACAGCAGTCCTTCCCTCCCAGGGTCGCCCCGATCACCCACACCGGTTTGATTACTGGTCACAAGCCCTGTGCTGTGAGAGCTTCTCGTCGGGCCACCACTACTGGGAGGTTGATGTGGGGGACGCGCGGTGGTGTCGGGTTGGAGTTTCGTACGGGACGATCCCATGGAAAGGGCGTGGTGCTGCACGGCTGCTGGGAGGGAACGATGCGTCCTGGTGTTTAGAGAAATGTGACAACTTCTCAGTGTTTCATGGTGGAGTGAAGACTGCACTGTCGGTGAGGGGGGCCCCCTCCTCACGCAGAATCGGGCTTCACCTGCACTGGGAGGGGGGGCTCCTGGCGTTTTACCGCGCCGACTCCATGGAGGTGATCCACGAGGTTCGGCAGAGATTCTCGCAGCCTCTCTACCCTGGGATGTGGGTGTTGTATTGTAATGATCGATTGAAGATCGTGGATCTGAGTCGTGCATTCTGAGGATGAGAGATAGAAACTCAAGAAACCAAGACAGAAACCCAATAAACGGAGGTGAGGGTGGATATTGAGGAAATGGTGAAGTGAGGCTGATGGGTAGTTGGAACAGAGGCTGAGGTAAGGTGAGAATGAGGGCAGAATGGAGGGGAAGGTTACGGGTGAGCGTGGAGGGTGAGGAGAGGGTGAGGAGAGGGTGAGGTGTTGGGAGGGTGAGGTGAAAATTGAGGAAAGGGTGAGGTGAGGTGAGCGTGGAGGGGTAGGGTGAGGGGGGAGGGTGAGGTTCAGGTTGGCCTGCGTGAACGATGTCGCCGGTGCTGTACAATTCGCAGGTTCGTGTCGCCGCTCCTTCACCTGCAGTGCGCGCTCGCGTGTACCACGCCTCCTCATCCCTGCGATTCACCATCATCACCATCATGACCATCACCAACATCATTACCTCATCATCATCACTGTCACCATCACTCC